CCCCACAGCAGGAGACCAAGGCAAAAAAAAAAAAAAAAAAAAAAAAAAAGAATGTGAAGAAAAATCACCACAATTTCATCAGCATATATAACCATTATTTTAACACACTCTTAAATCTTCACATCAAGTCTTATGAAATTAGAGATGCCTTTGAAAATGAGGTATAGAGAACCGGCACATGAAAGATGGTGAAGAGAGGCTGGGCGTGGTGGCTCATGCCTGTAATCCCAGCACACTGGGAGGCCGAGGTGGGTGGATCACGAGGTCAAGAGATCGAGATCATCCTGGACAACACGGTGAAACCCCGTCTCTACCAAAAATACAAAAATTAGCTGGGCAAGGTGGTGCGGGCCTGTAGAACCAGCTACTGAGAGGCAGAGGCAGGGGAATCGCTTGAACCCGGGAGGCGGAGGTTGCAGTGAGCCAAAATCGCGCCACTGCACTCCAGCCTGTAGACACAGCAAGACTCTGTCTCAAAAAAAAAAAACCAAACAAACAAAGATGGTGAACAGCTTAAGTGTAAGAGCCCAAAAGAATTCAATCGTGGCTCACACAGTAGGTAATTAAATTAACAACACAGACTTTGTAGTTTCCTGAACTAATCCAACCATTAAGCAGAAAAGTCACTAGAGCTCTGAGGGCTGAACTGCAAGGCAGAGCACCTTCCAGGCTAATTTTTCATTTTAATCCCACGGGCAACAGAGGCATGAGCAAAACCCAGTAAGAACTCAGCTGTCAATAAGGTAGTTCCTAAGAGCCAAAACGGGGCTTAAGATTGATGTGGCCACATTCAGAAAACCCTGTTCACAAAGTCACCAAGTTTACTGTTCTGACTCAAGAGGCTATTTATTAAGAGTCAACTCAAGCCGTTTATTCCAATAACTAAGGTCTCCTTTTTTTGGTGACAGAGGAGACCTACCAAAATAATTTATAAGAGCAATTCAAAACACAATTTCATTACATACACCCCTCTCCCTGTGTGCCTCCACATCCACCATCGGCTCTCATGCCAACTGGGGAGACAGGGAGATAAGAGGGTGCAGCAGGTCAGGGAGCTGGGGCGCCACGGATCCCCAGAGCCCATGGGAGCACAGCATCACCCTGGATGAACAGCAGGCACTGGAGCCCCCAAATGGGAAGAGACATGTAGAGGGAATGAATGGCAAGCAGCAGCCACCCAGGGGGACATGGGCACTCTTTTTAGGGTGCTGCCTGTGCCCGCTGCATGGGCCCCCAGGCTCAGAGAATCCCCAGGAAAGGGGGAGCAGGGCTCTGGGGTCCGATTACATGGACCAGTCAGTTTTCTGATTATTTATGCAGTTGCAATTGGATTTTCTGTTACATGCAATCACATTACTAACATAGGCTTGGCTATTTCCTGAATTATTACCGTATTCCCTGAGATTTTTACAAGCACGTATTCACGCATTACTTGTGTAATTTAAAACCTTTTATGTTCAAAGCAAATAAGAATTAAACACAGTGGGGGAAACAATTCAAAAAGATGACTTCAGGCCAGGCGCGGTGGCTCACGCCTGTAATCCCAGCACTTTGGGAGGCCAATGAGGGCGGATCACGAGGTCAGGAGATCGAGACCATCCTGGCTAACACGGTGAAACCCTGTCTCTCCTAAAAGTACAAAAAAATTAGCCAGGCGTGGTGGCGGGCGCCCGTGGTCCCAGCTGCTCAGGAGGCTGAGGCAGGAGAATGGCGTGAACCTGG